ATGCAACTATAATTCATTTTGTTATGGATTCTTCTTCTTCAAAACTTCTTTCCAAAATAATACTCCGTAGAAAGTACTAACTCTATCTCAGAATTGTGTTATCACTTTTATTTACCGTCGGACAGTTATGTTTCATAAGCTAAGGAAATGAGTATGTGGTTCATATTATTTTTCCCTTCTGCATACTCCTCAACCACATGCTTTCACTTTCTTCATTCGCGTGCCCAGTCAAAGTGTGCACTAATAATGGAATGGAGGGTGTAGTAGTTATAGAAATATAGCAACTCTAGCTTTAGTAGTACTCCCTCTGTCCCTCAGTTTATGTCCACTTTCTATTTTGCAACAAAACCAATCAAAGGGTAAAAAGACACAAATGCCCTTTGTTTTGGATCTTCTTCTCCGCCAGTCCTTGTGCCACAATTAGTTGATGTGCAACCATAGCCATGGCCAACGCCATTCTCCCCCAGTCTGACCGCAGAGGCATAGCCCCCCTCCCACCCCACCCCCCGTCAGTGTACCCATTCCAAACTCCAACAATATACTGTCGAGCTACTGCGACCCAAGAAACCTAGTTCCAATTTTGAATTCTCAATATGGCCTGTGTCTAGCCTCCCCTTTTGACCCGGTTGCTGTCGCATAACCTATTGCAACTCATATCCGCCCACCGCCGCGTAGTCCATTGCTGCACAACTCATCCAATCAAATCGCTGCCAAGATATTGTTACAAGGAGATCCGAGAGATTTGCAGAAGCAGATGAATACATATGCAGAAGTAGATGAAGAAGAAGACAGTGGCATAGCTCCAAAGAAGGATTGGATTGAGGCAAGGTTGATTAGATCTAGGCAATGATAGATCTGGGTGGATGACTGGATGTAAATAAATCAATAAATATATGGATGAGAAAGAAGATAAGGCGTAAATGAGTGTGAGAAAGGCGAAATTGACATTTTATTGAAATTTTTCTACTAGAAAAGGAAAGTGAACAAATATTGTGGGACGACCCAAAAATGAATGCTGGACGAATACTCAGGGACGGAGGGAGTATTGTTTTAGTTCACTATTCTCATTATGTTAGGATTTAGGTTTTCTGTTCCTATTGGATTTAGGCCCTTTATTTCTCTATCAAAGAATTGTAACAACAACAACAACAACCCAGTTAAATCCCACAAGAGTAGAGTAGGGTCTGGGGAGGGTGTGTGTACGCAGACCTTGCCCCTACTCGAAAGTAGAGAGGCTCTTTCCAAAGAGACCCCCGGCTCAACATCGAAAGTTGCAGTGTTTGACTAACTGCTACTTCATTAATTAAAGAAGCGCAGATAGTTTAGAGATCCATTTTGAATTATTCCATCACACCCCAAAGCCAAAAATGGTGAAATTTTGACTCCATCAGAGAATTGTAAGTGTTCAGAAATTATGAAGTTTTAAGTAAAAAACAATGTTCATAATTTTTTGTTTTTGTTTTTATTTATAAATCACACTTCATATTGTTCTTTGTCAACCTTTAATGCCTTCATGTTATATGGCTACAGATGATGGCAAAACATAGTAGCCTGAAGATGCATACAGTTGAGGAGTTGTTCCAATGCTTTTACTACTACGAAAAGTGAGATTTAATTCCATGCTTTGTAAAATTTTGTTTTTCCTTGTCTAATTTTGGCGCTTATGTGTTATTTTATTCATTTATTTGTTTTACTTCATGATGCTTTACCTTCGTTATATAGCTTATGCTTGTTAAAACTTTTGAAATTATGACAACTATTTGGTAAATTGGCAATTAATGTAGAGATGCTGATTTAGCTAGTGGTGATCTTATACCTTTATAACATGCTCGTTTCTTGGACTGATGCAGCATTGATGATGGATTTCCAGATGTCTCTTTTATTTTTCAGAATTCTCTTCATTTGACCGTTCACCCCCGTGATTATCTTTTCGAAGTTAAGGTAAGCAATCTAAGGCTCCATTGAAGAGCTTATAGTCTTTATTTGTGGTTATACAAGTTACATGAGCAACATATTTGGTGAAATAAATATCATTTTAAAATAAGAGCTTTAGTTATCCTTGTGGCTACTCATATATGGATATTGTATGAGTTTTAGTTTGGTTCTACCATTAACCTTATTATCTTTACGAAAATGATTTTATTGGTTTTAATAAATTTTCACCCCAAGACAAGTTTAATGCATCTTAGGATCACTCCTAACGCCACCAACAATACTTGTTTCTTAAGTTCTCTTTCCTCATATAAGAATGCAAAAGCATAGCATTACTTAGTAATTAATTGCCTGAATGCATGCAGGATAACGAATGGTGCATTGGTTGGCAGAACAGCGGATTGCAATCAAGAGATGGGGCAGAAATAATGTTGTTGGGAGGTATTTCAATGATCACCCTCTTATTATTATTATTATTATTATTGTTGTTGTTGTTGGTGGTGGTGGTGGTGTTGGTGTTGTTGTTAATGTTGTTATTGTTTTATTTTTAGTGCAATTTTGTTGTTGTGAATAAATATTTTGAGTTCCAATAACTCTATTACAATGTAGCATGTGCTCATTGATCTCAACTTATCTAAGCATAGAGAGTTACTGCCTTCATGATCTCCCATTTGGGAAAGCCACACTCTGACACTCATGCTTTTGGACCACTGAGAGTTAATAATAATAATAATAATAATAATAATAATAATAATAATAATAATGTTTTTAACACCGTCACAAAGTGTTCATCCCGTTTGACTAAAAAGTTAAAAGGAGCTACTCCCACTCCATCAAATTATTTATACTTTCCTATTTCGAACATCCCATAAATTTCTTTTGCACTTTATTCCCTATTTTGGTAATGAATATGTGACTACCAACAATTCTCTCTTCTCTAAACAAATTCTATCCACACACTTTTTACTTTTCAACAACTTTCTTAAACTCCGTGAAACTAAATTGTCACCAGTTTTATGGGATGAAGAGACTCAAGAGAGTACCTTTTATCATCAATTAAGGAGTAAATAATAACTGCATTGTGTATTAAGGGCAAGGCTCTTTTGAGTTTTGACACCCACCTTGGGTGTCATAATATGGCACCTATCCTTTTATAGATTACACTTTCTCCTGCCATATTACACTCTCTCCACATATATGCAGACATTGTACTATCTGGCAAGCTTGTTGTTTATGATCTTGAAAACCAGACCATTGGGTGGACTGAACATAACTGTGAGTATATAAACATTCTTTTTTCTCGAATCATTTTATGGAGCCCGACCGGGTTCATTCCCATATTGAGTCAGGCTGCATATTTGACATCATCATCATTGTGGGGCCTACTCACTACGAAAATGATAGCCTCCCCGGCCCCACAAAGACACCATGCGTTTACAAAGTGTTCTCTTTTTTTCGATTTCAGGCTCTTCGAGCATCACAGTGAGAGACGAAAGGTCGGGGAAGGTGTATTCGGTGGGTGCTCATGATATTTCGTCGGCCTATGCCAATGGGAGGATTGAGAATCTTTTAATGTTGTTAATATTCACCATTCATTGGAACAGTTTGATTTGATTTTTCATGATATATGTGATTTGAATGTGACAAACCTCACTATATATATATGTTGTAGAACTTTGGAAATTCTTTACAATGGATTTCATTCTTTGTGCATTGTGTCTTTGGCCTATCCTAGGAAATGCCAAGGAAAACCATATTCAAGTAAACTTCCGTCAAAAGAATCTAAAGTGTCAACACCTTAATATCTCATTGTTTTAAATAAACTACAATCTTTTAATATACCAAGATACGAGGGAAAGACTTTCTCGCCCAATTTTATTTGATATGATTTTGGGTATAGTTCGACCAAATTAGATATGAATAACTTAATTTACAATACTCTATGAGAAATGTAACTTTAATACGGAGTATATATTTTATGAAAAAGTGTTAAACTTTATTGGAAATAGTAAAAATTTATGGGAAAGTGTAATTTAAATACATACTTTACGAAAAAATGTTAAAATTTATGAAAAGAGTAAAGTTTATGAAAAAAGCGTAACTTAAATAAGTAATTTATGGGAAAGTATAAAACTTTTATGCAAAAAAATAAAGTTTCAACTTTGGTGAGGTGTAAGAGACAACAAACTAACGCTGCGGCAGAACATCACACCTTCCTTATCCAAAGGGAAATGGCGGGATCTTAAAGATGAACCTCCCCCTCTCTGCTGCTCAAACCCTGCAAATCCGCTGCTTCTTCTTCCATAGCCATGGCTGCTCCAACTCCCACTCGAAGCTATTCCCATCAATCCCCACTACTCCCCCACCCGCTCATCGTCCTCCAAGAAGCAGATCTCCGATCCGAGGTGATTTCTGTTCGTCTCTCTTTACTTCTCTGAATCGCAATTTCCATGCCAGGTCTCTTCTTCTTCTTCTTTTCTGTATTTATTTCTCGTCTGTAACAAAGGGGAATTTGAAATTCCAGTAGTAGCAGCAGCAATATAAATTGTGTGTATTATAGGGTCCGTTTGAAAAACTGTTTTCCATTTCTTTTTCTTTTTTTTTCCTTTCAAATTCCTTGAACCAAACATAGTGTTAGACTTCAGATATCGAAGAACAGACGAATTTGTTTATAACGTGTTACACTTATTAATCACTTTGATTCGTCTTCGGTGTGGTCCGGGTGCATTATTGTTATGATACAATTGATTGACCCAACACAATGGTTTCTATAGAATCCAACATTTGAACTCCCAGGAAAGCTCATTAGAATCTTAATTCATCCGAAATCTCGACCTGGTTGGAGTCCAAAGATGTCAAGATATTTAAGTAAATCTTATTGAGGATGTAGTCGCATGCCGTACACCTAGGCTAACAAAGGGTAATATATATAAGAATATGAGTTACTCCTCCCAAATGATTTTGGGTTGGAAGCTCATAATTCTACAAATTATAATTGAAATATCTGGTGTGAAAATGTCTGGTAAAATCTTCGATGATTAAGTTTTACCACTGCCTTGCATTGTTACGATACACGCGACTACGCGAGAAAGTATCTAGGGACCACTTAGGTGGGGATTTTCTCGAAGTGCTTCACAGACATGTCTGTCCGTAGTCCGAAACTTTTGGTCTCTGGGCTTCAATGTTGTTTCGTATTAGGGCTCTAATTAGTTAATGGACCGGTTGGATTTAACAAAAAATTAAGAAATTTTTTTACAACCTTTTCATGTTTGATACAATCATGTCAAATGAATTGCAGTTGCAGACGACTCAGAAAGATCTAATTATAAGTGTGCTTATGATGAGGCCGAGAGTGAAAGATCTGAAACTGACAAGCTGGTTGATGGTATGGATTTCGGAGAACTTTGCAATGAGTTTGAATGCTTTAGTAGTCCTTCCGTTGAAGCTACTGCAAGGCTTCTTGTTCGAGACATATTGGAGCTTCGTGACGATAGTCGCTCTTTCGCCACATATGCCATTTCAGTCCAATATAAGGTACAGCTTCCCATTTACTTTTATGTCTCATAGAGTCTAATTATGGCATACTCTTTTCGCCTTAGATATAACTGGAGTTTGAAAACTGGATTCTGGGAACTAATAACTAGAATTTGGTTTTGATATCTGGAATAAAAAATTGAAAAGAACGGAGCCTTAATCTATTACAAACCACAATCGTACACCACATTTTTTTCTCAAACTATGGGTCTATTCTTTTCTTCTTTTTTTTCTTTGAGCAAAACTGAACTCAAAAGTGCTGAACTGAACTTGAACTGACAATTTTCAGTTGAAAAGAACAACCTTTTACATTTCAAGTTCAAGGTAATGATGCTATTTTTGCCAACCAGTAATTCTTCATATCCTTAGCTACACAACAAATTGCAGGATCCAGTCCGAAATATCACTGGTCGAGAAAAGTACAAGAGGCCCCTGTGGGTAAAAGATGCCATGGAAAATCCCACATCTGTAAGTTCTGCACATTATAGAAGCCCCTTTTGTATAGAGAAACCAACACACTTCTTTCTATTTATACCTTTTTTGCCCTTCCCCGCCTTTGCCAGAGTGTGCAAGAAATGGTGATGTTGTCAACCAGTGTCTTGAACATCAAGTGGACAGTTAAAGGGAAGCCCAAGCCTGCATTAGCCGCCGCTATAGGAGGCGATCTGACCATCAAAGTTGACTCCAAATTCACTCTTAACCAAATCAGTGGACAAGTGATTGGGTATGAAGAGCTGTGGGACTTGTCTGCTTCGTCTATCATTGCTCAAACGTGTTTTTTGATGTCGCGCCGACTATCCGCAAGCATTGAGGCTGGAAAGGACACGTTCGACTTCGTGAAGGATTTCACAAGAAGGTTTAACACAGAAAACGAAAACATGGAAGTCGATCCTGAGAGCTCTGGTGATCCAACAAAGGTAGTGTTTGGCTGTTTGCCTTCTTTAACACTCTTATCTTAAAGCCTAAGTTGACAGTTTGATTCCACTTTAATTATTTAAAAGAAAAGAATTAAGGAAAAATTCATACAAATACTCCCAGAAATTGGAGATTTTTTCAATAATATTCCAAGATTTCATATCAATCAAATATACACCTAAAAATGGGGGGGNNCTGCCCACACACAACCTCCACATACCTTACTTTTTGTGAAATTTTACCGGGATTGTTTTATCTTTGTAAAAATATTGATTTTCATGGAGCGTTGTAAAATTTCAAATTTCACAAAGTACTTCCTCCTTACCCCAGTGAAGTTTAAGTTATCATTCTTTTGACTTCATGAAGTAAGAAAATTGTTGAAAGGGCAAACAAAATATGTGGTTGGAATTTGTCTAGACGAGAGAAATGTCACGAGCCACGCATTCTTTTCTTGAAAAAGAAATGAAATGAGAGAAGTGCAGAATTTTATTGCGGGACGAAAAGACTACAAACAAAAATTGAGATTATTATAATTGTAAAATGGCCAAAACTTGGGATTATTGGAATAAATATTTTGTTATTTATAGTGTTATTGTATATTAGCAACATGTGATATTGTTTTTTGGCCGTGGCAGTTTTTCCTGAGGGACGACAGCTATGAAGGAGGAGACTTGTATCAAATTGCACTATTTTTAGCACTTGTGTATTTTGTTGTACAGTTTCTAAGGACAACCCTATAAGTCTTCCAATATATACAATGTCAATGTTTCTTATAAGGACTTGTATCAATATTTTTTTTCTTGTAAAATTTTCAATACTTTTAAGAATATAGTATTTCAGAGCACTCTATATGTAAAATAAGAGGGTGTTTGGGAGTGTGGTTGATTGTTGAAAAATCAAAAGTTTTAATAGAAGCGGAAAGCATATATTTTTAACTTTGCTTAAAAGTACTTCTGAAGCCCATTTTAGACAACAAACGTCATAATCTATAAGCAGAAGTAAATTGGCAAACACGACGAACACTATTTTAGTAAAGCAAAAACTCCCAAGTAGTTTTTAAATGCAACCCCAAAAGCCCTCTAAGTTAAGGATTATTTTGTCGCGTTCATAAAAGCAAGGACGGATACTTTGATGTATTATTATTGCCAAATAAAATTGATGTTTTATTATCACTGTATTTTCAATGAGAACTTAAAGATAGTAATTTTTAAAAATTAGTACTCTTTCCATCTTAATTTAAATCATCTATTTCTTTTTATGATGTTTGACTCTAATAATTTTCAATATAATTTATTACTGAAGCGGAATTCAAACATAAATTTTACTCCCTCCGTCCCCCAGTTTTTGTCCAGTTTTGACTTTTGGAATTGTTCATCTAAGCACTTTAACTCATCAAATTCTCTCAATGTGTAAGCCTAAATATAGTCATGTATGATCTTGTTTGATTTGTCTTAACATATAGATTATTAATATATAATTTCTATAATTTTTTAATATACAAATTACAAGATAAAATGGATTAAAGAAGTGTATTGGATGGTGTGTAAAAATGAAAGTAGACAAAAACTGGGAGACGGAAGGAGTACATACTAAAAAAACTACATCAAAGAAACTTTACGAAACAAAGGGTGACATGATTACATTATTTTCTCTTATGAGTAATGGAAATAAAGAAATAAAGCAAATGAAATTTGGCAATATGAATAGTAAACATGGAACTTAATTTGGGACGGGAGAGTAATTTCACAAAGGCAAACGGTGTGGCACAATATATGATACAACATATTTCCAATCCTACAACACCCCTCTCATGATATATATACAAACTCAATCATGTACATTACTTATATTTCCAGGTTGAAGACAGAACATGCATGCAGTTTAGAGTGGGGGGTTTAGAAGAAAAAAAATACATCTAGACCTTCAATCAACTCACCAACTACATGGATTTCTCTTCTTTGCCCCTCCTCAGGCACTTCCAACTCTTGGCAAGGTCAATAGCGTGTCCACGCGGGACACCCCTCGAGTGCTAGGCCACTTTTCCCCGCCATTCTCGTGGTTGTGGACCCTGCTCGGCGCAAGGGGGACAGCCTTGTCATTGGAGGAGGCAGAATATGCACCCTTTGTAGGTGAATCATCAAGGAAGAGACAGACGACAGCACAATCATCGACCCTAGATGTAGGGTATTTGGTCCTCCATGACCGAACCGCCGCTTCAACCAGCACTCTGGCTGCAGATGAACGTGTCGGGGCCGAACCCACAATCTCCACAGCCTCTTCATTGGAAAGGACATCCCATATCTGTGATATGTATATTTTTTCCATTCATTACGAGTAGTATGATATAGAATTTGGTAGATGAAAATTGATATGTATAAAAAATGATTCGTACCCCATCTGTGGCCAAGATGATGAATTCATCTTTCTGTGTTAAACGTCTGTGTGAAATTTTGGGTACAGAGATGAGACCGAAATCCTTGAGACAAAAGTCTCCAAAAGCCCGTGACATGGCAAGGCCTGGAGAATATGTATTCGGTAGCCATACTCGTGCAATACCAGGCTCATCACGTAGGGCAAATATACGTCCTTTACACTTTCGAATCCTTTCTGCTTCCGCTGTTAGAATTACGGATATAGATATATGTTCGGAGTTCAAAACCACGGTACTTGAGGGACAAATGGGCTGAACTGATCACTATATAACTTCAGAAAATAAACAGAATGGACCAATTTCACTTACTAATGACACAAATTCATGAAGTTTCAGAGAGAGGATCAAAATGAAGGCAGCAAGATGACTACATACAAATACCTGGAAGATTAGGCTTGAGATCCACAGTCAACTGCACAGCTGTAAGAAAGTTGTCTTTATCTCTTGTACCCAATATGGCTCTGGAGTCCCCAACATTCCCAATTACAAGATCCTGGCCCTGATATAAAATGAACCATAATGTAACCATTAGCTGTATAAAATACTGCAATAAACTGACAGCCATAATGTGCTTAACGAAAAACCCTTTGCGATACTCTGTAATACATAAAGAAAAGTGAAGCATATCAAAGGGAAACCCGGTGCATGAAGCGTCCCCGCTTAGAAAGGGTCCCACCATAATGGTGTGAACGAGTGATGAATCTTATCAACCCTTATGAATCGATACCTGTTTCACAAGAGCTACTGTGGTCGTCCCACTGCAAAAGCAATCAATGCTTGTAGTTCTCAGTTCCCTATCCATGGCCTTAAAAGCCATCAGAATGGATTTTTTCAGTGTCTGAATGGCATCCCCATTTTTATGAACTTGTTCAACATCAATAGACGCCATTGACACTTCCTCAATGTCAGAATTCATGCTCTCTGTAGTATTTTGACTGATCTCCACAAGGACATCATCATTCTTAGTGCTAACTTCCCAGATTGCACTTAATTTTAAGGGAAGAGAATCCCTCACTCTTTTCGCAACCATATGTCCATACGGACCGTGCCCATCAAAGACTCCACAAAAAACAGTATCAGCTCTTGATCCAAAGTTCTGAAATTTTGAAAATATAAATAATCAATGAACTGCAAGCTTTTACTAGGCAATCCAGTCACAGCAGAGGAGCATAGGATGATCAACCCGAAATGAACATTCAACTAAATCATGGTTTATATGAGAAAAGAAACGAAGAAAACGACTATAACAAAACACAAATGCAGGAAATACTAAGTATATAATCCAAACAACACACATATACTGATGCTCATGAAAACATTATAGATGTATAATGAGTTAAAATAATGGTAAAGTGTGATTAGAGAATATAAGAGGGGACCGGACCTCCCAAACGAGCATTGCGTCTTGATTAGCCCCTTTCTTTCCCTGCTGAGTAAAGAGAGAAGCCACCTCACTGGAGCCATTCAAGAACCTCCGCCCCCGAATCCTATGCAACTGTTCTTCCTTGCGACAGTCAAAGGAAGACGGGCAGCGCTTCTCGAAGCTCTTTCTCTTCCTCCCACAGGGGGAATTGGGAGAAGGCAGAGGGCTCCTGCTTTCAGAACAGGAGAAGCAGGACCCCATTTGAAGGGCCCTTGCTACATCCAACAAACACTCCACAACACCCACACAGCCGCCCCCTCCGTTTTCCCTCTGAGAATCCGTCGCACCCCTCTCGCAGCTATCTATGCCTGATTCTTCGCTCTCTTCAAACCCTACTTCACCCGACCCAAGACCCGGATTTCAACGGCAAACGATTGCCCGTCCCGTGATTGGTGATGATCGCTGTACGAATTCACAGTAAATCGAAGAGAAAACTGGAAGCGAGAACACGCAGATCCTTCGAAATTCAAATCAGCCCGGAATCCCCAAAACCCCAAATTTCATCGTCCCCACTCCCGATTCTGCTGGGACCAACTAAAAATCTCCAATCAATTCCCGCATGAGATGTACAACTGCACAAGAAATCGGGAAGCAGAGTATGAACATATCGGGAAGAGAACTATAATGCGAAATGAAAGGGGGCCGTAATATATGGAGTTTTCAATGAATACGTATGCTCTTACGCCAGAATCGCAGGGTAGGCCATAGGCGTGGGAAAGATTGTGCCGTACAATGCAATGGGAATATATAGAATAAGGGGAAGAAGATGAAGACGAAGAAGAAAGGCAGAAAGGAAGAAGGAAAGCTCCGTGGTACAGAGTATGACTTCTGCGCGCGGCTTTGTAGTTTGCGGCTACTTTGTACCTACCCCATTTTAATTTTTAACTCATTGGTTTAATATGATTTTAAATAATTAAAAAATAAAAAATGAAATACACAAATGATAAGTTTGTGTGGTTTGTGTAATTGTGTCCGAGTTATTTGTGATTCTAGCATTACTTTTCTTTTCTAATTGAAAATGGTTTTCTCCCTAGTTTATTTTCATTAGAATTAAAGTAAAATTAAATCAAATTATATTAAACCTTAACAGAATCAAATTAGATCCTCATACCAGACGAAGAGAATGTGCTATTATCTGGTTCACGGACGACACAAATAATCATTGTCTGTGGAACTTTCTTGGTCCCTCAAGAATTTTTACTTTTTGAATGACTTGGAAGATTTCATGTTTTTTAAAATTGTTTTATTAAGAGATTGATATAGAAACAAAATGCTTAATTTACATATAGAATGACAAAAATAATATGTGACAATAATATTTTATTTTATTATATAGAGTTATTAGTGTTCAAAAATAAAATAAAATTTATATTTATCAAAAGTACATAAAAAGTTTTATAAAATACAATGTGCCAAAAATGTTTTACTTTTTCAAATAATTATCAAAAAGACATAAATAAACGAAAGTTATCAGAAGACCAAAATACTATAATAAAGAAAGTCCTTTAGGACGGAGGAAGTATATGTCAAAAGTTCTGTGTTAATGTTTGCATGAATTCTAATTATAGATTTACCAAAAATAGTACGAATGGTATCGAATCAAAAGCGATTTACTATTTTCATACTCCGTAATTAATTATGTGCCCATTTGGCGATAGTTTTAGCACTTAACTTTAAAAACATCTAATGATAATATTTAGTATTAGTGTTTCAAAGAAAATGTGATTCCCCAACAATACTTATATACGAAGCGACAATATTATTTTCTTTTTCGCTTACTTTTTTTTGAAAAATTAAAATAGCTCTATTACAATATAGTATATGTTCATACATTCTCAATCTATTAAGCTAGTAGAGCTACCGCTCGCACTGGGGGTCGAACACATAACCTTTCATTTGGGAGAGTCATAGTGATGACATTGGACTACAAGATCCTTGGTCTTTTTCATTTACATTTTCTTTTGCTTCTTTCTCTAATTCCTTGAATTAAAAACATATATAGTATAGTGTATTTTTATCTAAATTAAACCAAACATATAAAAAATCAATATCTTTCTAAATTCTTTTTATTTCTCTTCATTCCTACCTTAATGGCCCAAAATTATAGTATGGGCAAGATTGTATATCAACCGGTAAGTCCAAGCCGAGGTCAGGGTTTCTTTTAGTGAGACTAGAATATAATGCAGTCAATCAAGTAATATAATAAGTTTAGCTTCCAAATTTTTAAACGCATTGAGTACGAGATTTTTACTTGAAGAACCAAACTAGAATTATACTTCCTCCATCTCACAAAATTTTTCTTTTTTTTTTCATTTGTCCCAAAAAAAAATTATCATTTCTATTAAAAAGTCACTTTTACCCTTATTAATTCTGAACCTACATATCACTTGTACATCTACTTTTACCTATCACATCCAAAGGTATTTTTAAAAAGTCAATACCAAAATAAATTTCTCTTAAATCTCTTAAAAATCAAAATAAAAAATATTTTGTGAAACGGATAGAAATAATTTATTGTCTCACTACTCTGTCGGGCCGTCGGGTGTAGGGCCATCGGGCAAACGGGTGGGCGTTCTACCCATATAGTGGAGCTTGAAGATATATATGGTCCTACGTGGAAATTAGTGTGCTTTCCAATAATTGGCGTTTAATTGTACATTTAATTACGCGTTCACGCCTAATCCCGTATTTAATATTTTACTACGTATTACGCAATTGTGTACGAATTATTTATACGAAATACAATCCGCACGCCACACATATATATGTATATTTGTACTCCGCTACTTTTTGTGAACATCCAAATAAGACAAAATTGTAGGTCACCCCTAGTCAAGGATATATCCACCCAGGGGAAGTGGGGCACTTAACCCAGTAATTCGTTGTGCCGCGTAGAATTACAGATAGGCGAAGGGGGTGGGAGAGTACTTTGGGAAAGTCAATGTGATTTTTATCTTACCTAGATATGCGTGTCGGGTCAAATCGAAAAAATAAATAATCGACGGAGGGAGTATGTTTTGAAATTTGATTGAAATAATGTGGGTTCGGGTATTTAAAATAAATTTGTTTGAAAAAATTTAAAATCATGATTTAATTAATGATGGATGGGGGTTGGCCGATAACATAGATGGTTGGCGGTAACAATAATAATCGTTGGCGGAAAATGGTCAGCGGTTGAGAGAAATATCAAACTTCTATGATGATATCTTCCAAATCCAAGAGATATTGAAACCTTCCATTTGGAGGATTTGTGATTTTTGGAGATAGTAATTCGATATCTTTTTTGACTCCACGTCTCCACCCAACACACACACAAAAAATATGATATATGAAGATATAAGAATACATATTTTTTTTGCTCACCAAACACATGCACCCTAAGGTCGTTGGATAATTAGGTGATTATATATAGCACTACACTTTGCTTGATATTGAATTTTAATATGAAGGGATGACATCGAACACATACGGTGTTTATATATCGTGGCACTACACTTTTCTTGTTGATCTGAACCATTAATTTTACTAAAGGACCAGACTAATATCATATTATAAAATTATTTTACAATATCAAAATAACCATAGTGATATGGTTTAGGTTTGAATTGTCACCTTCAGAGTTCTAATTACTACGGAGTATAATAGTTTCCAGACTCTAGTCTTTAGACTACAACTACTAATCTCTAAATTTTAACTTCTTTTGAACTTCGCAGTATATGCGGTACTGAATATTCATTTTCAAACAACTAAATTTATACTCTTCAAACTCTACTTAAAATTAAGGTGAAAATGGATCGGAGTAGTGATAATTCAAACTCAATTAATTACCGATATATAAACATCTCGATCACGTCGTTGAAATATTAATTGAACTCATTGAATTTCTGAATTACAAATCGACTCTTGACAACAACAATTAAACTGATCGACTAAATTAACGAACTATAACTATTATCAAAGTGAATTAATTAACGAATTATAATCATGTGGTTCATCCACCATACCACAGGTCGTTGAGATATTTAAAAAGTTTGGTGTACCCATGTACTTCTTCATACCCAAATTTTGAAATTTCGTGGGAGAACGGAAATCACTAAATAAAAGTTATACAAATAAATTGAATAAATAGACTAGTTGAGCTGATGTTGTAGCACTATCAGAGTAAGTCAGTAACATATGTCAGATAGTGTGTTATAACATCTTCTTTGTCACAACTCACAAGCATACACACAGAAATAGATGATGCAAAGAGTGTTACAGTACCTACTTGGCAGAATGCTGTAACAATAAAATGTAAAGAAAAACATCTGATATGGTTACGCAGTTCGAATAAACTTTCCTTATTCTATGAGACTCACGTTCGTGTAATAGTATTCCACTAAAGCACTAGATGCAAGTTAAATAACATCGGTACAACGTCCGTGTAATAGTCCTGCACTAAATTACTAAATAAAATAAATTTCACCTAAAAAATAAAGGTTTTTACCTAGTAAAACTTCAAGCAAATATGATTTCTATTTTCCCAAAAGATTAGCCGAACTAACAAAATTATCATCTTAGTTCGATTTTTTGTTACTTTAATCATGAATTGTGAAAAAAATTATTTAATTACTCCCTCCGTCCAGAAATATTTTTCTCATTTGACTTTTCTTGGTCAATGTTTGTAAACTTTGACTATGATATGTGGAAAAAATACATTGTATTACGATATAACTTTAATATGAATATATATTCATTTTGAAATATAGTTTTCAAATATCAAATTTTTATAAAATATATTCATACATAATAAAGATATTAGTGTCAAAGTACAATCTTGAAGACCGTAAAAAGTCAAATGGGAAGAATATTTCCGGACAGAGGGAGTGTAATGTAAATTTAGTATAGGTAAGTTAATGTCAAGATTTGATTCTGACAAATTAAATCAAATCTGTATAACAATTTACAATTAAACTATATTTAATTTATAGTCAAAGAGATTAGAAAGGTCAAACTATAACGATAAGTTTGATACGGATGGAATTAGAGCTGGAAAATCGGTCGATCAGGTCAGGTTCGGGTTCAATCACTTCGAGTTCAGGTTATTTTGGGTTTGAGTTAATTCCGGTTCGGGTTGAGAACTGTATGTTCATGACCCAGTGTCATCGGGTCCGGGTCGACCCAACGGGTTATGACTTTGATTTTTTTAAATTTTTAAATTCACATTAACACTAATATTTGTATTAAATAAATTTAAAATATCAAAAAACATGCATTAAATGTATTAGATTATTTTATTTTAAATTTTGAAGTAATTTTTAGATATATAAATCAATATAAGGAATTTAAAAAATGCTTAAATTTTAGAAAAAAGTAAAATAATTATACAGTATCATTAAAATTTTGTTTAAAATATAAATTTATACACTAAAAATGAGTAATAAAGTGAATGATTTTAAAAAAACTCTTACTTTAGTGGGTCGGCCAGGTCGGGTTTGGTTGAATTTGTCCCATTTTTAGCGGGTCATTTCAAGTTCTGTCAACTTTGAATTCGGTCATCAAAACCATTGTTCAAAACCCAATATTCTCAGGTTAGATTTCGGATAAAAAACAGGTCTGGTCATTTTTTGCCAGATCTAAATCGAATAAGTATGTAAATCAATGACTCATTGTCTTAGTTGTCCATCACCCCGACCCCTTCAATTTCATTCTCCAAATTTATTTGACTTTTTAGTCAAAAATTTGACAAAAAGTCAATAAATTGGAGAATAAAATTGAAGGGGTTGGGTTGATGAGTTCAAGGCGAGCCAGGGTAGGGGGTTCGTCGGAGATTAGGAAACATCAATTTTATACCCCAATTGGAGTTGTCATATTATGTCACACCTTGTTGTCAAAAGAAGGGGGCCGTAATAATAATAACAATAATAATTAGACATTGTTATTATTATTATCATTGGATTTGAGAGTTAAGAAATGAAGATAGTCCACAGCTTTATTAGAGCAACATAGTGTACATTATACAAAACTACAACTTGATTGCATTTAACGTCAATAAGCAAAGAAACCCCGTTTTTTTGGTACCAATTAAAGATCACTCTGAAAAGAATAAAAGTAAAAAGACAGTAAATATAATAGGAGCATGGATGTTGACACATCAACATGACCAGCCAAACAAGGCTTCGAAGCGCAATGACAACGCCGGCATTATTCCTCTTCTTCCGCCTCTTCTAACCACTTCACAAATGGTTCCAGTGACTTGACAAAGTTCTGCCTGAAGCATTGATGCACACAACAAAACCATTTGTTTTATAAATAGCTTGTTACTAAGGCCCCGTTTGGCATCAGCATTAATGGTTAGCGTTAGCGTTTTGAAAATGCTATCTAACAGCCAGCTTTAGCATTAGCGTTAAGAGGATTAAAATACCATTAAAATTTTATCCAGAACGCTAATACTAGTCGAAAATGTTGTTCCCAAACAAGGCATAGTACCTCAAAAACAAGAGTCACGTTTTGTTCCAAAAGAAGAATTGGATTTTAGGAGTCGATTTCAATCTTCAAACAGTTTTAGAAAGCACAAAATTTTTGTTTCCCCAAATATGCATTAGAAGTGTTTTTTTCTTTTGAAAAAGTTGTGGTTTACCTGCCCTTAGGGTTAGTTCCTTTGCGGAACCAATGAAGAATGGTGTCCTCGGCAAGCACGTCCTGATCATAAAGAGACCTTATAATTTCAGGGAATAACTTCATCAACTTAGCATCCTCGTAGCAATGAACTTGCACTTTGTACATGAGTTCCAACTCAAGTTTTCCGGTAGTGCAAAATGTTTTTAACAGCTCTGCCCATGCTTTTACCTGAACAACGAATAGGCGTGAATCAAAATATGTGGAAGTGTACATTGAATCTTAAGACAGTAGAAAAAGAAAAATTGGTGTGGTAATACATTACAAATTACTCGTAAGTGTCAGATTGGAAGGAGTGTTTAGGTCAAGTCATTATATAAATTTGACATTTTAATCACCCTTTTGTTTTTAGAAGTATTGTATTTATCAATTAAGCCCTTAGCCTCCTCTCCAAAGCTACCCCTACAAAAACCTTCCACCCAAAAAAACCCTAAGACTGCAGGTTACCTGCCGGAGAGCTGAATTAGCATTCTGTTGTTGGTTCTTCCCGGACCACTGGACAGCATCCATCAAGGCATCCCACAGAATTCGCACAACCTCGATATCTGGTAGCTTAGCATCTTTAACGTGCTGTTTTACTGTTTCTACGACATCAGAAACCTCAGCTTCCTCTGATATTTGTGTTGTTAGCGCTGTTTTCATTTCATTGAGTTTCACATCAAAAATCTTTTTCTTGTTGTATTCTACCAGGGGTAGGAGACCTTCCTTGCTGCAGAAAACAGAACGAAAGTTCACATTAGATCCAAACCAAACCAAACCACATCCACTAGGTCCCACACTCCCACCCTCTATCTCTAGGAAAGCAGTTTCTGTGAAGTTTATATGAGATTTTAATGAACAAAATCTCCTATGTTCTCCTACAATAATAAAAAGCCACATAAAATGTATTCAGAACTCTGTTTTATTCTGTACGCCTTTTCCCTTTTGGGACAATCTTGATTTAGCAAGCCAAGAAAACAAAAATAACACTAATACTAGAACAGTATAAAATCTATTTGATTTGATTTTATATGCTCCAGGTTCCAATTTGGCCAGCAAATGGTGATAATGTTCAGGCTGTCAACGTGGAAGGGAAACAAAAGATGTGCAAAAATGTCCTTGGTCTACTAACATTTTACTCCAAACATCAAGAGTAAATCTAGCATTGAGATGTGGTTGTAATTATCTGATGAAAGAGTTGTAAAGATCATAAGAGAGAAGAAAAGAAATGATCCCTTGTTCATAGATATATGTCCCTTCAAAGTAATAATAACAAGTGTACAAAAATAGGTCAATCCCATAAGTACACTATTGCAATAAAACATGGCACACAAATAGTGCAATTAACCCTTGATTGGTTGGAGGGTTGTTGTTTTTAGAGTAAATTCCATAATTGGTACTTTATAACAGAGGGTTTCCATATTTAGTCCTCTATTATCAAATATTACCCTCGTACTCCTTTTTTTAAGGGTGCCTTTCCACAAATGGTCCTTTTTTTGATCTTCTCCCATGTTGGTATTAATTTAAAAGCTAAAAGTATAATTTGACATCAACATTATGTCTAGTGACGTGTTCTGATATTGGTTAAGCGGATAACACAAAAATAATGAATATGATTGTGGGCTAGGATTCCGACGAAAGACCACATTTGTAGACTATGGTTGTAGTAGAAAGCGACTGTAATTCACAAACGATGGAAACGGAACAACCTTTGGAATTGTGTATGACAAAAAAGATATATTATCATTGCGAAATTACACTTTTAGCCCTCAAATTAACACCAACATGATAGAAGATAAAAAAAGGACTATTTGTGGAAAGATACCCATAAAAGAAGGACCACTGGGGTAATATTTGATAATAGAGGACTAAATAGGGAAACCCCCTGTTATAAAGGACCAATTATGGAATTTACTCTTGTTTTTACTATTAGGCATATGCATTACTTTCTTTTTAAGGAAATGTACACATAAATGTACACAAATGCTATAAACGATAACGAGGTTCATCTTTGTTATGTATATGCCTACTCGGTGTTGAACTAAAAGTGTGATGTCTTTAATAGCAGAAGACATGTGTCTTCTAGGCATTTCATTGTATTAATATGCAATGCAAATTTAAATGTACTTGAAGAATTCATGTGCATTACTTTATTTTTAAGGAAATGTACAGATAAATGTACACAAATGCTTTAAATGATAATGAGGTTCATCTTTGTTATGTATATGCCTACATGGTATTGAACTAAAAGTGAGATGTCTTTAATAGCAGAAAACATGGATTGTCTTCTAGGCATTTCATTATATTAATATGCAATGCAAATCTAATGTACTTGATGAATAATGTTCATAATAGAGCGATATAGATATTATTGAATTACATGAGCCGGGAAGCCCCAGAGTAGTTAATTTTCCTTGATTACCTGAAAAAAGTACTATGATATTCCAATTGACTTCCTTTTATTAATATCCACGATTATTGCTATCGTAAGTAAACATTAACACACTATTTATTAGATGCAAACAACAAAAAAGAGTAATTAATGCATCATAATCAATCCCCTATAAAAGGACAATTGACCGCTGTTAAAGGTACCCTATAATTAGGACTTAGTGATGTTGATTTTATGCATAACCTATTTTTGCCAAACAAGGACAAACTGGCGTATCAAGTACTAATATATCCCCTCTTTGAACAAAACAACAACAACAACCACTACAGTAGGGTCTGGGTCTTTGAACAAAACAAATGGTTAAAGACTTAGAGTAAAAGCTACTTAACAAGTAGGGAGTACATTTTAAAAACTGGACTTCCAGAATTAATTCTTCTCATGGTGTTGAGGGACACCTAAATACAAATAAACGCTATGACTAACTAATATAGCAACAATGATAATGATGACAATAAAATGGTGTGAATGAGACTGTCGACAACATCATTAAAAGCCACTTACGTGAAATGTTCAGAGAACGCTTCAGGTGTCCTCTTTGAAGTTGGGAAGAATTCAAGAAGGTCATCCTCAACTTTACCTCGCTTAAGAATTGTGATCAAATCATCAAGACTGTTGTCAACCAAAAACTCCTTGAAAAAGTCTGTGATGAATGGGAGAACTAGCCCTTTGGTGACAAGATTATCCTTGAGTAGTGGCTGGAACACAGTTTCTGGTGGAAGCCCTGATAATTTCTGAGAAAATGCAAGGGCCGTAAAAATTGCAATCTTCTTCCTTTCATTTTCCTCAAAAAGTTCCAATGACTGTAAGAATCTCCGGGTAACATTTTCAAGGTTCTTTATAAGAAAAGGCTTTCTTCTAAGGATCTTCTGTATAAAGATTACAGATGGCAAAATGTCTTCACGCTCAGGCTCACACGCAATTACAGAGTACGGGTGGCGCTCCCCTTCATCAGGTTTAATTGTTCCAGGTTGTGTGCGGCCTCCAGTGAAAATAACCTGCAATAGCAATTAACGATGCCACTTGACATAAATAATACTAAGTACGGAGTATTTATTTTGTTTAAAGGGGTCCAGGCCAAGTTTGAGCTCATCCAATCATATGGATGCAGAATATCCTCTCGTTCTTCGGCCAAACAAAGAAGATCCATAATAGGTTCATTCTGGGGTGTAAATGTAGGAAATGAATTAATTAAGATAATTACCTCGAAAAATGTGTCACCGTATCTTGAGAAGTTAAGTTCGGAGGCTTCAATGCTCTTGGCAACAAGTTCCTGCACAGAGTAAAACATTTAGGCAACAGAATGGCTATTTGGATACCACTAGAGCACCAAAACAGATAAAAAAGGAAAACTAGGAAGACAAATACCAGATCACCAGCACTATCCAAATATATTTGGATCACCACATCTGCAAATGCTGAAGGGTCAAGAGGCGCAGCAATATTCCTCTTGCGGGTCTTAATCCGCGTGCCACTATAGTTTTAATGAAAACATTGACCATGCATAAGTGTGAGAAAAATTATATTTGACGATGTAAGAATTAAAAATGAACACTCACCCGAGAGTGGGTTTCTCCTTTGAGCTGCATCATTCCAGGACAAATGTCAAAAGAGGAAAATACACATCTTTAGTTATTAATGATGATTAACCATCAATTGTCCTTTGAAAGCATAAATAAAACGCAAGAAAACTGCGCGCAATCAAATAATAAGATAGCTTATCCAGTACTATATATATCATCATATATACAGTACATATAATTATATAAACTCAGTATTAGAACATATCTATACATGTCAAACATAGTTCAATCCAGACATATTTATCCATTCATTTACTCATTCACAACATATGTACATATAATTATATAAACGCCGTACTAGAACATATCTATACATTCACAAGTGTAAGCAAAAACGAAATTAAAATAACCAGGTGGTGCGTATATGAAATCCGTGGATCTAAAAAATTGTAAATTTCAAAATTTTACGAAATCGCAGAGAAAACGCTTCAGTATTGTCAATACTCCTCAAAATAATAATAAAAAATTAAATCTCTATTTAAAGAGAATCGGGATAAGAAGAAGATATTTTTTAAAATCAGAACCCTTTCCTCGTGAAAAAGCATTCAGATTTGCACTCTCTAACGAAATTAACCAGTTTTGGTTGACGAACACAAGATCTAGATCCGGCATAGCAAAATTGATTACGATACCATTTTTAGAACACTTAGAAAAAACTCAATTAAGAAGAATGAAATCAAAAGATGCCTAAAGAGAAATGAATTTTACCTCATAAACCAAGATCTAGGCGAATCGGGCAGATACTCTCTGCAAGTCGGGAGAAAATAGAGAGAGGAAATGCGTGGAAGGAGAAGTAGGCGGTCCAAGTAGATAGAGAAATGAAAGTAGGAATGCCAACTGGTTGTATTCGGTTCGGATTGTACTCGTCCTGACCCGACCGTACATGTAGGCCAGGTTCCGTTCAACTTTTTTTTTTATTTTTATTAAAATCAGACCGGATCAGATCAGATCAGAATTTATTAAAATCAGATCCCATCAAGAATTATTATTATTATTATCATTATTGTTATTGTTATTATTGTTCTTAAAAATTAAAAAGAATAAACTTTAGAAACAGGTTAAATAGAAAACTGAGAAAGTAATCCTTAATTATTAGACGTCAAAAACTTAGTTTTAAAATACATTGACAATGTCAATATAATTCTACTGTTAAAATATATTTTTATTGCTACTTGTAATTTGAGTTTCTAAAGTTTTGATCTTTTATAAGGATGAGATATTTTAATAAAAATACATTGACAATGTCAATGTATAAATTAAATATTTATTCTAATGTATATATGAATTAATTATTAAAATATAAAATTAATATTATAATTTCACAAAAAAATAATCATAAAATAAAAAATATTATTACATTATAATATGAATGATTATTCTAATATATGAATTAACTAATTTTATTTTATTAAAAAATAATCATTAAATAAAAAATATTGATTATATTATAATATGAATTATCATTACAATTTTCAAATGTTATTATAAAGTCAAATCAAATTATTGATTTGAATTTTAAATCAAATCATAATTAATCAAATCAGATCAGACTAGATCAGATCAGATCCAATCAGATCAGATCAGATCCAATCTGATCAGATCAGATCAGATCCAATCTGATCAGATCAGAACTTATTAAAATCAGATCAGATCAGTAAAAATAAGTTGAACGGAATGGAGCCGTATACTCCCACCTTCCGGAACTTACAAGGTACCATTTGGGCCTTGAGGAGTTGGCAAAGCGGAGACAACTATGGTAAGCATAATGTCTCTCAAAATATGAAGTGCGGGCTCCACTCTTTATATCAATTAAAGCCTAATTTATTTCTTCTCAGTAACCATCCGACCGGGTCTGAGAAGACCCTCGGGGATGAAGTTCATCCTTTTTTATAAGTTACCAATATCATACTACCATGTGAGTATGTGACTCTACTTTTTTTTCTTTTGACTAATAACTTTATTGTACGGTAGTTTTTACATTCTTAGGCTATCAAAGTTTGTAGAATTAGTGTGCCTACAAGCAATTGAGCACATGACCTCTGAATCTCTGATACGTCATGACAAATTTGTAAATCGACAATCAAAAGTTCATATACCACCATGCTTTTGAGTTCAAGTGTGAGATAATAGGAACTGATCGACAATCAAGGATTCAAAATCCAAAGTGCGGCGGGGAAGCAATGGAACACAACAATTCGAAACGGGGACGAAGGGCACAGCAGCTGCAGTGATTAGTTTTAGGATGGATTTGGTGGTGGTGGTGGTGATGATATTGTGAATATCTTCTAAATGAACGATATGTTACTTGTAAATAAATATCTTATAGACTTTGTAGTTACAATGAACATTATATTTGATGGATATACAACAAAAATAAAAATATTCAAAACAAATAATTTATTGCTTAAAAATGAATATTAGTCAATTGTACCTAGAGCTAATTGCAAATGTCCAATTTTTTTGATATCAATGCATTAAAGTTTATAAAATGAACATGAACCTTAGAATTGTGTAAGAACTTAACTTTCACATAAAGATAGTGTCTATGCACACATACTTTCTCCAAGGCCTAGACCTTATTTTTTCAGATTCTGTTGAGTTGGGTGTTGTTATTCTTGTTTTTGTAGTAAGGATGTACTCATATGTCGAGTAAGTTTGTAAATGAAACGAATAAATATGATTCGATTCGTGATTCGTATTCGTTTGTACTAATTTGTATTCGAAAAAATTAAATCCGAATATGAATACGAATAGTATTTGTTATTCGTTACATTAACGAATACGAATATATCCATACTCAATTCGGCTCCTAAACGAATATATTCGAAAAGATGTGTCAAAATAGTACATATAAAAAAATTCACTAATTACATATAAATTTAATGTATGTTTATATTTCAATCTTAAATATGTAAATTATGAGTTTATAATATTTTCCTCAATAACTAATGCTAAACTATATCCATAAAAAGAGTTGATGGAAAAAATAATTTAATATTTTTTAAGAAATAAATTAAGCTTTCATAAGATATTTTGATATTTAAACAAATCGAATATTTTTTATACGAATCAAATATATTTAAATGAATCAATTATTTTTTAAATGAATTGAATATCTTATATATGATAAACGAATCGGACACGAATCTTCTAAAATATTTGAACCAAGTATGAATACGAATAACATCTGAAACTAATGAATACGAATAATATTTATCAATATTCGATTCGATTTGGTTCATTTACAACCCTAATACGAAGTACATCAAAGACCTTGTTTGGGAATAACGTTTTCGATTAACGTTAGCGTTTTGGATAAAACCTTAAAGGTATAAATCAATTCCAAAAATCCTAATGCTAGAGGCCTTGTTTGAGAACAACCTTTTCGATTAGCGTTAGCGTGTTGGATAAAATTTTAATAAAATAAAATTAATTCTAAAAATGTTAACACTCGATAGCCTTTTCAAAATACTAATATTAATTTATAATAGCATGTCAAATAAAAGAAAAAAAATTACTATTCCGTATTATATAATCTTTTTAAAACGTGAGAGCCAAAATATCATACGCATAAGAAGTTAAACATCTAAGAACCGGACTATTTGCCTTCGTACCAAACATCCTTCGTACCAAACCCCGTTTTTATTGGGAAGGCATTCAAATCAAATCAGCCACAACCCAAATGGCTTCGCCGGCAGCTTTTCGGACCTGGCGGATGTTCTCTCCCGTCGTCGCCCGGCCGCTGATTTACGCTTCCCATTTCCCCCCTTCACCGTCGCTCTCCTCCTCCTCTTCTCTTTCAGCAAAACCTCTCTACCTTCGGTTCGCATCTTCCGCACTCTCCGTTCGCCGCGCCGCCTCCACCACCGCCATGGGTGACGCCGTCGCCGATGCCAACATGGACGCTGTCCAGCGCCGTCTCATGTTTGAGGACGAGTAAGTAGTGTCTCCTTTCTCTTCGGATCTTCTCTTTAATTTCCGCTCTGAATTACCTGGCACAGTGTTGAATTGGATTCGAAGACGTGTTTAATTTTCGATTTTTCTTCCTTGAATACTAATCGATCCAAACAATTTTCGATTTTAAAATACATTACCGATTCAAAACATTATGAATTTCCACAAGTGCCTTTTTAAAAGTCAGAGTGATCATTACCCTTCTATCATTTTTAGGTTAAAAGTTGCAGTTGTTCTTTGTTTACCACAGGTGTATTCTGGTAGATGAAAATGACAATGTTTTTGGTCATGATACCAAGTACAATTGTAAGTTCCCTGAATGGCTGAATTCTATGTACAGTAAGAGTTAAATTTTAGATGCTTTTCTTGTGCTCCTTTTTCGATAATCACCGGGCAACTTTGGAATTGTTGATTGCAGTCATTAGTTCTCATAATCATAAACATTCATAATCATTGTGGGTGTAATCAGGACAATTATCCCTGTTGTGAATGTTGATCTGTAGGAATCAGATCATCTTCTATTGAAGATCAAATACACTATTTGGCTCGTATGAATCCTCAGATCAGCTCGTATCAAATACACTCTATGGGCTGGTCTGAATCTTGATGTTTCTTATTAAGTCTAGTCTGATACGAATCTGACTAAAACTATTACCCTGATTAATAAGCAGAGATTAATAGTTTAGTGGGTGTTTCTCTGTGCTTATAAGCTGGTTAAAATGGCTTATAAGCATTTTTTAACTTATAAGTCAGCTGATGACATGTTTCTGCATGTTTATAAGCTGACTTATAAGTTGCTTATAAGCCACAAAAAATAAGTAGGTCTTAGCAACTTATTTTTAAGCCAGTTTTTTGGTTTCTCTGTTTTGACCATATTATTTACAAATTTGTCCCTCACCATTTATGAATATTTCCAAGTGAAAGAACATTTGACTTATACGGAGCTTATAAGTTCAAAATTGCTTATGAGCAATAAGCCAATAAACACCAGCACATAGAAACACCCCCTTAATACTCCATCCCACTCTTCTTGCTCATTTTTATCCGTCCAGACGTCCACTATTTTTGTCTCGTACCATATTTGGTCATATTTGTGTGGTTCATATTGATTTTACTTCATTTTTACTCTATCAACCACATAATCTTGCTTTTCTTAATTTTTTTTGTCACTCCCTCATGTCCCAAAAATAGTGGGACGGAGAGATTAATATATTAAAAAAGCTGAAGAGAACAGCACCTAAGTTACGTTTGAAAGTAAAAGTGTGAAACCATTGTGATCAATATGCAGGTCATCTTATGGAGAAGATTGAATCTGAGAATCTGCTTCACAGAGCCTTTAGTGTTTTCTTATTTAATTCTAAATATGAATTGCTTCTTCAGGTATGTCTAGGAAACTATCTGTATTTTTTTCTTATTGATACCAAGATATTTCAGGACTATTCAGGCCCGGACAACCTGGTTTGGATAAACAAAAAAACATCTTGTTTAACACACCCAATTTCCAACAATTGTTTCTCAATAATTAAGCTTAAATGTTTTGTACGGAATTAAATTTTATCCTTGTTCTTAAAACATATTTTCCACATTTTCTCATGATACAGTAGATATAGTTTATTATATTCTATAATTGTCCTGTTCTTGCAGCAAAGATCTGCTACAAAGGTCACCTTTCCTTTGGTGTGGACTAACACCTGCTGCAGTCATCCTCTGCACCGAGAGTCTGAGCTCATTGAAGAGAATGCTCTTGGTATATATTTCTCCTAGGTAACATTTGGTTAGCCGTAATGCATTACAATGTAAATTGTGATGTAATCAAATATATCTTCGTGTAAATTTACAACACACATACATTTGATTACATTTTCATTACGTCTTATCAAGCTACTACTGAGCACATACATGGAATCGCCAACTTAATCAATTTACATTCATCATTGTATTTCGTATTTTAGGGGTGAGGAATGCAGCTCAAAGAAAGCTTCTTGATGAGTTGGGAATTCCCGCTGAGGATGTCCCAGTTGACCAATTCATACCTTTGGGTCGTATCCTTTATAAAGCACCTTCTGATGGCAAGTGGGGAGAACATGAACGTAAGGGCCTTTTCACTCAATGTATCCGAACCTAATCGTGTTCCATATGTGTTATTCTAATGCTCTGTTTGGATAGAGGGGTTTGAAAGGTTAGGTCTACTATGTACATAGATATACATAAACGGAGAGAGAGAGAGAACCCAATCCCCCTCTCTTTCCTTTCTTATAGCACTCAATTAAGAATGTTTAGGTATTAACCCTTGCATCACATCCAATAACCAAGATTCATCTTAAAATAAAACGAACCCAATTCCCATGCACGCGCGCACACACATTCCTCCAGAATATAAATATGTATATATGCTTAGATCTTATGGAATTAGAGAAAAACTCTTTTCCTCAAAATTTCATTTATAAGAAATGAGTTTGAAATGTGAAATGAGTCAATGAGTTTGTCACCCATTCACATTAGCAATGCTCGTTATCTTCATCATATTTTAGATAGTTTATCATAATTTCTTTATTGAATACAAAAAATGGATATCTTAACCCGAAGAGATTGAGTAATACAATACAAGTGATTATGTGACATTTAATAATAAATTGTTGACATTAAATTTCATGCCGCTAACCTCAACGTAACTGTGGTTATTACACAGTGGATTATCTTCTGTTCATGGTGCGGGATGTGAGGGTGCGCCCAAACCCAGACGAGGTTGCGAACGTAAAACATGTCAACAGAGAAGAGCTGAGAGAGATACTGAGGAAAGCGGATGCCGGAGAGGATGGGATAAAGCTATCGCCCTGGTTCAGGCTTGTTGTCGATAACTTCTTATTCAAATGGTGGGATAATGTTGAAGATGGCTCCCTCATGGACGTTGCTGATATGAAAACCATACACAAGTTGACCTAAATGCCATTAGGCCTCGCCCAGCTGCCTCTTAAACCCTGCACGTAAGTTTTGTGCATTTTGTGTAATTTCAATGATCTATACACACTTTACTGGAGTAGTAGAAATGTAACATTCTGCTTTATGCAAATATATACTGATTAATGTAATATCTTTCTTGAATGGGATAACCTATGGTATACATGTTTTGCTTTTTTAGCCGATTTTTCTAATAAAGTTTAAGTACATAGCTTTCACTCTTTTAGTCAACTCGGACACATCAATTTCTTGGTGTAAGATTGTTGTATCAATTCAATTAGAGAACTTACGGTGTTCCGGTCGTAAAATTGATTGATCTCATCCTCCCTAACAGCCCTCACTGCACCCTCACACACCCTCCAATATCCTTACACCAAATTTAAGTATTTCGTAAATTTTACTCCCTTTGTCTGGAAATAATCTTCTCATTTGACTTTTATGATCAAAGTTTATAAATTTTGACTTCGATATGTGGAAAAAATACATTATATTATGATATAAGTTTAATATCAATATATTTCTATTGAAACGTAGTTTTAAAATATCAATTTTTTATTAATTGGTCAAAGTCTAAAGAGACCGTGAAAAATCAAATGGGAAGAACATTTTCGGATGGAGAGAGTAAAAAATTTGACCCTCAAAGGTCAACAAAATTAAATTAGAAGGGGTGCATTAGTTGAGGGTTTATAGATACTTAGCAGGGTAGGAACAATAAATTGGCCAATAAATTAGTGTAAGATGACTTCTCTTTATTTATTTAACAATTCTCAAAACTAAACCAGATAAAATAAGTTTTTTTTTGGGTTAATTACCAACTCATTTCATCAAAGCTCATTTCATCAAACAACGGTACATAATTCAAGGAAGAAGGGAACGACATGAAAACTGCAGCAAGATACCCCAAACATACAGAAGTTCATTCCTCAACTCCGCTTCCGAAGCACACGGATTCCGAGTCCTCGGCCTCTTCCCGAGGTGCGTCCGGGTTCGTGTCCTCTCTCGTTATCGTATAGCTCGAAGCAGAAGATTCCACCGCCGCCACCGTCTCCGGCGGCTCCTCCACCACCACTTTCGGCTCGACGACCATTGTTCCCCTCTTCCTTCTATACCTACCAAGCCTCCGCCTCTTCCAAGACTCCAACACATCACTCTCCTCCTCCTCCTCCCTCCCTTCCGAGGCAAAACCTTCTTCCTCGTGGGCCCCGGCGTCTCCCCCCCTCAGGAGGGGGACGACGAGCGGCCTGAAGCAACAGAGGGAAATGATGAGGAGAGTAGTGTAAATGTACAAAGTCGCCCACACGTAGAGCGTCCATTTCCATCTATGCAATATCTCTTTCGTCCACGGGAGGTGGGACTTTAGGACGATTTCGGCCCCGTAGACTTGAGGGAGCTCTACCGTCCCGGCTCGCGGCATCAAGGTCACTCGGACGGCCTCCGTTCTCGGATGGCTCTCCTTGTGCCTTATCATGGGGATGACGATCCTCTGGGATTCGGCCGTTATGCCGAGTAGGAGGGGTAGTCCCCACACCAATTCTCTCATCAGTCGTATCGGCTGGCTCGTGAAGTGTAGCATGCATGGTTGGCTTGATCTCGTCCTCGCACTCCCGCCGTTCGATATCAGCTCTGCACCCACCTGATTATCCAAAGAAATATTTGCACTAAATAGCACTAAAGCTTAAGTCATTTTTCTAAATAGCACTTAAATTGTTTTATTCCTTAAATAGCACTTGATAATGTGTATAATGATCAGTGATGGCGAACATTTACTTGATTAATGACTAATGGATAATGACTAAAAGTGCTACATTAGGAAAAAACACATCTAGTGCTATTTAGAGAAAGTCATTTTGTTTTAGTTCTATTTACGTAAATTCCTCTTATCCAAAGCAATATCTAGTCAAACTTGTTAATACTTGGTACAAGATATACTAACATATCTGATATTCTGCTAATGATGAGGGTTTGTCAAACATGCCCTTAGAAAACTTTAATTTACCTGGAAGATTCCCAACTCTCTGTTGTAGTCAGATTCCGGCATTACAAGGACCAAAGAGACATAAAAGGTATGGCCAAGAGGCACACCAACTTTCTTGTTCTTAGGGACGAAAATACCCTTATGCCCGATGAATCCGCCGCCGCCGCTGCTTCCATGGGCAAAAGAGAACGTGGCCGTGGGGTGAGCGGCCGTGTAGTCGAAGCTCAGTCTCTCCCTCAATAGAACCGGCTCCTCCACCCACAACCTTACCAACGACACGCCTAAAATTGCCGCCAGAGTAAGCAGAAGCCCCAAGATCATACCTACATATGCGGCCGCGAGTATCCCGACCCCAATTTTCCTCAGCAACGCACCGCCGCCGTATCCTCCTCGGTCCTCCTGTGACGCGGAGGTGGCGGCTGAGAGCATGACTGGCTCCACGGCCCTGTCATCCCCAATGTTGTTAATATACTCCCTCCGTCCCATAAAGATAGGGACGGTTTGACTAAAATGATAAAATAAGGAAGGATAATTTTGTGTTGACTTTCCAAAAACACCCTTAGTGTAATGAGTAAAAGTAAGATGTATGTGTAGATTATTATGAAAAAGGTATGATGTGATGGATACGGTATGAAAAAGTAAAAGGTAAAAGTAGTTTTTTAATAGAAATTGGAAGAACTTTTAGAGACACAATTTTTTGAAACGTGAAGGATTTTATGAGATAGAGGGAGTATATAACTTGTAACCCAATCAAAACACATGGTTACTAACACAAATACTCCCTTCGTCCCCAAAAGAAGTTCTCTTATTGACTTTTTAGGAAATTAAGGGAGTGATATTTTGTGTTGACTTTCCAAAAATACCTAAAAGTAAGCGGTAAAAATGGTTTTTTAATAGAAAAGGGAAGGTGATTGTGGGACAAAGAAAAAAACGAAAGGGGAACATCTTTCGGGGACGGAGGGTGTATAATTTTATTAAAGTTCTATCATGCAATAAAATTTCATAAGATTTTTTCGATCATTTGTATTAATATGCAACATATTGAATTTACTACCAGCCCACAAAATCATTCTCTTTTAATTTCTTTTTTCATTCGTCCTAAAAAAATTTTTTCATTTCAATTAAAAAGTCACTTTTACCCATACTAATTTCTTAATGTACCTAGCTATTACATCACACGTTTTTACTACTAATTTTTACCCATCACATCTACTTTTACCTATCACACCCAATGATATTTTTGGAACCAAAATATATTCATCTTAAATCTCTTAAAAATCAAAACAAGAAATATTTTGTGGGACCGAGGGATTTAAATTTGTGAAATTAGACAGAAAAAAGTCAAACATGAGTGAGAGAGTATATGCTTGCCTGTCGGTTTCATAACGGAAAGAGAAGAGGGAGAAACGCGGCGACGGGAGGGCGTAGGAGCAGGCGGAGAGGATCTGGGAATTCAGAGAAATAATGGACTTGGAGAACCAGTCTGCCAAGTAGCCGGCGGCGGTTGGCGGTGGGGGCCGCCGTGTAGCGGAAGCGGGTCTTCGCGGGCAAGCTGGCGGCGACATGGGTAAGCTTTGTTAATTAGTTGCATGAGTGAAAGCAAAAAAGATATAGATAAGTGTTGTATTTTGAAAAAGGGGAGAATAATATAATATTGAGAGACACTTGTATTGCATGCATCCTTACTCCTTGACACATGTACATATCATCATTCTATTACTAAATGCATTCTAGTCCTCTCACTAATTACACTTTTTACTATGGAATATTTAAAAATTATGAGAATTTTTATTTATTTATATGTTTTTATTGATCATTCATAAAGTGCAATATCTTGATCACTTTTTATTTAATTCGTAGAATTTTGATATACGTTTTAAATATTAAATAGATAAGTTTTATTTTTTAATTCATTTAGGGACGGAGGGAGTACGAGTCAACTTGACACTCGCTTTTATAGAAGAGAAATGTTTGGCTCAAAAACAAAATACTCACAAATCTTACAAACTTACTATTTGTGAACTTCAACAAAAAATAAAGTAGTCTAAAATAATTTCTAAATGAGAATTTAAAACAAAAATGATAAGTTTGTTAACTTTGTAAGCATTTTATTTATGAATCTAGAGTAAATTCCATAATTGGTCCTTTATAATATGGAGGTTTCCATATTTAGTCCTTTATTATCAAATATTACTCCCGTATTCCTTTTTTAAGGGTACCTTTCCACAAATGGTCCTTTTTTTTATATTCTGCCGTGTTGGTGTTAATTTAAAGGCTAAAAGTATAATTTGACATCAACATTATGTCTAGTGATGTGTTCTGATATTGGTTAAGCGGATAACACAAAAATAATGACTATGATTGTGGGTTAGGATTCTGACGAAAGATCACATTTGTAGACTATCGTTGTCGTAAAAAGCGACTGTAATTCACAAATGATGCAAACGGAACAGTCTTTGGAATTGTGTATGACAAAAAAGATATATTATCATTGTGGAATTTCTCTTTTAGCCCTCAAATTAACACCAATATGATAGAAGATCAAAAAAGGACTATTTGTGGAAAGGTACCCATAAAAGAAGGACCACTGGGATAATATTTGATAATTGAGGACTAAATAGGGAAATCCCCCTATTATAAAGGACCAATTATAAAATTTACTCATGAATCTATTATTGCTTTTAAAAAACTAAAAACTCCCTAGGTGTTCAAAAATACTCATATTGTTAAGATTTGTTTGTGAGAGAGAGAGAGAGAGATTATAAGTCATGTATTCTTATATTCATAAATGTTAAACCTGACAAAAAATGATCTGACCTGCTTTTTACCCAAGATCTAACCCAAAAATATTAGGTTTTGAACAAAGATTTTATTGTCCGAATTTGAAGTTGGCCAAACTCGAAATGACCCGCTAAAAATAGGTCAAACCTGACTGAATCCAACCTAACCGACCTGTTTATGTTAGAATTTTTCAAAAACCTGACGGAGTATATTTTAGTATGATATGTAATGCTATAATAAAAATAAAATAATAATTATATTTCTTTTATTACTACTTGTTTTCAATGTATAAATTTATATTTTCTTACAAAATCTTAATTATGTTACATAATTATTTTACTTTTTTCAAAATTTATATATATTTAATTTTTTATTTTTAATATGTATACTAGCTCATAAAAATTACTTAAAATTTCAATAAAAAATAAAGGTCATAATCTTGTTGGGTCAACCCGAACCCGACGACACTGAGTCATGAACTTGTAGATCTAAACTCAAACCAAACTTATCCGAAACTGAAATAATCCAAACTCAAAGTGATCAAATCTTAGCTGACTGATCTGTTTACCAGTTCTAATAAAGGTTTACATAAAGTACTAACTCAGAAACTTAATGGGTGTTTCTCTAATGCTTATAAGTTGATCAGAACTACTTATAAATTATATTTAACCTAACTGATAGGTTAACTGATGACATGTTTTTCTGTGTTTATAAACACATGGGGTGTCATCACCACTATCCTCATTTCGACTCAGCGCTACATCAGCTTTTTCTATTAATTTCATCCCATTCGGGGTGTGGATCTCCGTTCTATCCCCGTTTTTAATTTTTATTTTTATATATTACTTTTATAATATTCTATTTAGTTTTAAAATTAAACTAAAATAAAATTTGAAATTAAAAACGAAAGTATCACCACAGGCTGCCAGGCACGGCATGCGTTTTCGACGCATGGCAGTACAAGAGTCAGCAGTGCCAGAACCGTACTATGTCCAAGGCTAATTAGGACAGTAAAATAAAATTTTGAGACAATCCATACAGGAAAATAAGAATATAATTATAGAACGGAGGGAGCGATATTTCTTTTATACTTCACATCAAAATTCAATACATTTTTTCAAAAGATACTTTCTATGTCTCATTATTATCTTCCTTCTTTTTTGTTTGAATTATCCCAAAATTTTATTCTTCTTTTCTTTTAAATAAAAAATGAGAAATTTTCCTAAATAGGACTAAAACATAATGACTTTCCCAATATAAGACCATATATTTTTATTTCCCAATGTAGGACCTTTGGTCATTATGAAGTAGTCATTATTCAAGTAAATGTGCATCATTACTGGACATTATTCCTCCCACTAGGTCATTATTAAGTCCTATTTAGGAAATAAAAAAGTTTAAGTCCTACATTAGGAAAGTCATTATGTTTTAGTCTTATTTAGTGCAAATTTCACTAAAAAAATATGTGATTCATGCTAATTCTCTTTTCTTTATGCAAACCAGAACTACTTACATTCTATTTTATTAAAAAAAATGTCAAGTCAAACTCAGAAGATAATTTCAGGACTAAGCGGGTATATGACAGAAAGCGTAACGCTGTGTTTGGTTGGAGGTAGGGGGAGGTAGGGTAAGGTTAAATTGAAAAGTTACCTTGTTTGGAGTGAAACGGAAGATAGGTAAGAGGAGGTGGAAGGAGGTAAAACGTTACCTCTAAACAGTGAAAAATGGGCTACCGCCGAATCGGCGGTCATACGAGGTAAAACTATTTTTTTCCGCTTTGCCCTTCTCCTTCATCACACCTCTTCTTCCCTGCTGCTCACTTCTTGCTGCAACTCTCTCACGCAGATCTCTACAATCGACAGATCCCAGGTTTGTTTTTTTCAAATTCCAGCGCCGGTGATTCCAATCCTAGCGCCGCACTTTTTTTCTTCCTTTTTTTCTAGCGCTGATTCCAATTCTAATTCCAAGTGCCTGGTGTTTTTTTTCTTCCTTTGGTTCCAAATTGGCGGTCTGTTTTTTTCTGTTTTTTCCTCTTTTTTTCGTTTTTTGCTGTTTTTTCTATTTTTTCTGTTTTTCAGTTTTCATTTCAATCTTTTTTTTTTCTTTTTTTTTTTTGCTTCCTTCAATTTTGCTTACTTTTTGCTTACTTCACAACTTTCGTTCTGGACAGATCTTCAATTTTGCTTTCAATTTCTAATTTATGCTCAATTTCTAGTTCAAGCTTTCATTCACTTTTTTTTTCAATCGGATATTTTAGTAATTTTATTCTTTCCCTACCTCAGGTTACCTAATAAACATCCAAACACACTTTTTTAACTGATTACCTTACTTTACCTACCTTCAATTACCTACCTTTAATTACCTACCATTACCTACCTAATAAAACTTTTACCTACCTCCAACCAAACATACTCTAAGAGTACGTACAAGTAAAAGTATGAGAAGTGGTACGTAAATACGGAGTACGTATATGTGTACAATAATTGTACTTATTTTTAATTAAATACAGTAATTGTTTATTAATTGTTACAAAATCCTCTCAACCGCCGCTCATACTTTGCCGCTCCGCCACCACTTTCCCTCCCTTTTTTCCTTCTTTCTCTCCCTACACAATCCACAATCCGGCAATCCCGCCTACCTACTCCCTTATTATTAATACTCCCTCCGTCCCATAAAGTGTTACCCATTTTGACTAAAGTAGAAATTAAGGGAGGGATAATTTTGTGTTGACTTTCCAAAAATACCCTTGATGTGATGAGTAAAAGTAGGATGTGATGCGTAGATTATTAGGAAAAAGATATGATGTGATAGGTAGGGTTTGAAAAAGTAAGGGGTAAAAGTGGTTTTTTAATAGAAATGGGTAGGAGATTGTGGGACGCAATTTTTTTGAAAGGTGTAAATCTTTTTGGGACGGAGGGAGTATTACTTTTGTAATTATTATTCACCTTCTTATTTATTCATTTATTATTATCAACAATAATAATTCTTGTTATATTGTTAATTAGTTACTGGTTTTGGACTAGTATATATCCTTTGCACAAATGAATTGAAGAAATTAAACGTAACTAATTAATTAACACACATGCAATGCGTGAATGTATACAACATTCATTATATGTATTGGGTTCAAGCGGCGGCGGCGGCGAGATTCTTGATCAAGATATGGCCGGTGGTATGGCGGCGGCAGAGGCGGAGGGGGATAGGGGTGACGTCAGGCCCACCATTGCAGAGAGAAGGGCGGCGAAAAGCGGTTTCCGGGCTCTCTCTCTCCGCCGGAAATGTGCTCCTCGCCTGCGTCGTCTCTCCGCTCCCCTCGCTTCACTATTTCTCCCGGAATCAGCCCTACGGCGCTGCTAGGGTCGCCGTCCGGCTGCCCGGCCATGCTCCCCGGTTCTCTCGTACGTAGTTGATTTTCCCTGTTTTTTTTCATGCACATGCAAAAAGCATCTTCACAAGCTCGTAATAAATCAACTATTGTGATCACTAGAGTGGGCTGTGAGATTTTGGGAGCCGGTCCAAAAATAATATTTGGTCATGGAATTAAAATAAAAAGAATATGTTTAAAAAGATGCTAGCTAGGAATACATTAAAAAGTGTACACAATTGTAACCCAGTGTATCTCAAGGTCAAATTAAGTTAAAGAGATTGTTGGTGTACAAATTAAGTTGCTTGTCACAAGGTCAAATTTTATTTACATTTTTTCTCCATTTTTGTTATTCGTTTGATAAAATATTGACTTGTTTCGTAGAATTTTTTATACAATTTTTTATTTTACAAATTTTAGTTTTTAATTCTATTACAATTCTCAAATAAATAGTACTCCTATTAAATATAACATCTGTCAAACATCATACACTACAACAAACAATTTAAATTAAGAAACATTTTAAATTCAGAAACATTTTAAATTAAGACAGAGGTAATATTATTTTTAAGTGCGAAAATAGAGTATTTGTTCTCTATTGTGGAATGACACTATGTTCATATATCATGAAAAATGTGAGATAACACACCTTATAGGAGATTTTGGTACTATTTTTAGAGCAACCTTACATAAGTACTTAATTAATGACTCATTTTTATCTCTTAATAGGAATCTCCTGCAACAGAAACATTACAATTTCCAGGGCAAGTTAGGGACGACAATTCTGAGTTTGGCTTAGTTATGAATCATCATATAACAGACGACAACGGGTCCGGCATAGGTACCAATTCCGATGAAACCGATCATCCTCCGCCGACGGATTTTCCGGTCGAATCATCCGAAAGCCGAACGGGCATGTCCTGTGACATCATCGTCACAAATTCCAGTGACCAAGAACTTCCGCTGCCTCGTCATCCGCATAGCCCGGCACCCCTTACCAATTCGTCGGACGACGACGGGTACGCGTGGAGGAAATACGGGCAGAAGCACGTGAAAGGGAGCGAGTACCCGCGGAGCTATTACAAGTGCACTCACCCGAAGTGTGCCGTGAAGAAGAAAGTGGAGCATTCGCCGGACGGGCAGATAACAGAGATCGTTTACAAGGGGGCACACAACCACCCCAAGGTTCCGGGAAGTAATCACCGGAAAACACCACCACAGCAGCGGGAGAAGGTTGTTCAGAGACAACGATGAGTCATGGGACCGATCTAACGGCTGAGATTTGTCGTCAGCTTCCATCATTGACCGGATCAACGGCCATGATCGGGTTTGAACCCGGAGATACCCCTCAGCCGTCATCTACAGCCGGTAGTCAAGATGGTGATGGTGATGATGAAGATGGAGTCTCCCAAGGCATCTCCAATTTCCTACACACAGAATACGGGGATCCGGAACCCAAACACAGGTATACAGATACAGATAATGATATTAGCACTCTATTTTTTTATTGGAACTCCAAAATATACTATTAATGTGAGAGAGATGAAGTACATTTGAAGTGCCAATAGCAAAAAAAAAAGAAGTGCAAATAACATTTCTCTTTATAAATACATAATACTACCAACTCAAAACTGACTCAACCAAAAGTTTAAATTTGTGGTTGCAGACGGGTTATATACTCTAACGAAATGTAAAAATTTTGAAATTCTAAAATTATAACAGGAGGAAAGATGAATGGGGAGGAGAAACGAGCGTGACAACAACAAGATCAATAGGGGAACCAAAAGTGGTACTTCAGATTGAAAGCGAAATAGACATACTTGACGACGGTTATCGCTGGAGAAAGTACGGTCAGAAAGTTGTCAAGGGCAATCCAAATCCCAGGTAAGCTTCACCATCACCATATCTGTATGACAAAAAAAACAGGACATACATATATACATTACTTCTTCACTAGCAGAAAAATAGATTTTTATACTATTTACCCTCAGACTCTTCAAAATTTGTGTGGATTCCTCCCGAACTTCAAAAATTGCACTAATGGTCTCTAAACTTTTAAAGACGTTGCATCAATGGTCCCTCTGCGCCAGATTTGGGAGTGCATTAATCACACGCTCATCAATATATCTGGTGGAGCTTAATGAAGATGCCATGAATTGATGAAAAGGTTGATCGATGGATAAAGATCTTGATCGACTTATGCCCTGGCTTCGAGTTCGGTTACCGACGGCTAAAGCGGGAATAATTTCCCTGGATTTACAAAAGGCTAAAAATATAGAAAATAATGCTTGGGAAAATATATTGAAGAACTAACATGTGATATATCCGTTTAGATGAATTGATGCAATGTTTTTATAAATTCAGGGACTATTAGTACATTTTTTGAGGTTCTGGGGGGAAACCGTGCAATTTTTCAGGAGTTCGGGAGTAAACGACACCAAAAAAAACTCCAAAAAAATATGATTAATTTGATCCGTTTGGTATAAATGACTAATAAACATACCATATGATGCCGGCCAGGAGCTATTACAAGTGCACAAGTCCAGGATGCCCGGTGAGGAAGCACGTGGAAAGAGCATCGGACGACCTGAAATCCGTGATCACCACTTACGAAGGGAAGCACAACCACGAGGTGCCGCCCACCAAGGCTGCTGCTGCTGCTGCAGTAGTGAACTGCAACAGCTACACCGCACCTCCTGCCGCCAGCGGCTCAGCCTTTCTGCCGAGAGAACCAGCTTCTTCTGGTGAGAGGGAGCAGCGGGATCACCATCCATCCTTCCCATTTGAACAGAAACCTGTTATTACAGCAGGGGTGGAGGAGGGGGCGGAGACGCTTGACTGCTATGCAACCGACTTCAAATTTATGCCTTCCTCTGTTTACCCGCTCAAATTCCCGCCTACACCATTTTATGGAAGGAGCAGCTCGCTCGTTGCTGCTGCCACCACCACCTGTAACTATAGCAGGCCGCCAGAGATGGTGGTTCTGCCTGAGCTGCCCATTCCACTATACCCAATGAAACTGCCTTCTCTTCACAAACTCACAGAATTGGCCCCACTTGCTAATTTCCTTCACTTCAATGGCACTGGTCCAAAGGAAGAGCACAAACAGGGTAATCCCCACACATTGCTATACCAATGACTATGCAGAACATTTTCCATATTGATTACCCTTGAACACTCTTCCTGTATTTGATAACACATTACACAATGAAGGTTTTTTAAAATTATAGCAAAGTGAAAAGTGAAGGAATGTATGACCAACTCCCAAAGGTGAATCGACTGTTTCCAAATTGACAATCGATTGTTAATTTGAATTCTGCAAGTAACCTAATGGCCATGCTCACAATCCATTGTCTTTTGTTCTGCAATTTTTTTCTAAAGAACAAAAGTGACAATCAATTGTTTCCGTTGTGACAATCAGTTGTCAATCGCTACTATCAGTAACCAGTCTCAGGTCTTTGAATGTCAATAATGATCCTTATTATCAAAGTAATCAATTGTTTGTACAGTACAAAATTCAGCAATAGTGAAAAATAACTCACACAACCGAAAAAATAAATACTACATAATTTTGTAAATGTGTTTCGGCTTAGAAAAAAATTAAAATAGACAAGACACAATTCCCAGAAAAGAAATAAAATCCGTTTTTGAATTGAGCCATATTTAAATAGAAAGTATGCCGTTCCTTCACAATGAAACTACCAAAACTAAACTAGGAAGCTTCAAATCTTCAAGTCGTGTTCCCTTGTGATAGAATTAATCCTCATGCAACGCCTTTGAATTTATTTGTTCATGCATTATTTCTAGCGTTTCATCAGCGGTTCGTCATTATTCAAAATTCGAAACCTGAATAAGAAAATAAATGAAGACTGCAAATTATAAAGAAAAGGGTATCCATGAACAAGATTTTTGCTGCCAGCGGAACAAGAACTTCTACACAAGTGATATAGTTGTGTGTGTGTGTGTGATGAACGGCCATTTTGTTCCAAAAATCCAAAATTGAACTAAACAAAGTGATAGAGCCATAGTCAGACTAAAAAACACCAAAAATAATGTCATTGATTCACTACATAATTATTACCGAAGAAATGCTTACCAGTACAAAGCATCTTGTCCCCCAAATCAGCCATAGACAGTGGAGGGAGAATGGGATAAAAACCTATGGGAAATAGCAAGACAACAAACATGAAAACTTGAAATGAAAATGTACAATAATGAAGACTCTGAATGAGAAAACAATCTAAAACTGCTAGACAATAAGCAAATGCCAAGTGAGAGGCAAGCAAAATATAGTTAGGCTAGGGGTAGTAAAAAAGGTTCAAAGAATGACAGAATCACCCAGCAAAAGAACAAGTGAGGCAGCTCCCACACGTTCATATTTTCTGTGAAATCAATAACATTCTGTAAACATGTCACTAAACTTTACCACTTCCCGTAGCTTAACTCGACGTACAAATAGGCCTATCATAAAATTGCCATGAAACATATATTGAAACACGTAATGAAAATAAATGAGACAAAATGAAAGCAGAATAATACATTTGCCTGTTCACTGAAACAAATGTACCACCAATGTCATGAGTTAATGGTACAGTTAATGATAGTATGATACAGAAGAAACTAGGGAAAGTTGAGTGAACGGTTCCTAACAAAGAGGAAGTGATAGTTGAAGCCAAATATGTAACATAGACAAGCGTTTGATTGCAGATGAAAGAGGTTATCTATAGGCAGAGAAGTGAAGAGCCCGTATGCAATAATAAATACTCCATAGATGCCATAGAGTTGAGTAAAAAATGACAACACGTGGTCATATTCAATTGAAAGAAATACCATGTGATCCTGCATTCATTCATATAACTGTTTCTTTGTGTTCTTGCACTGTTTTGAGTTAGGGGTCAGCCTCTCTACCGCTTTAGGTAGAAGTTTAAGGTCTGCATGCACTCGCCCACAAGGTAGGTTGTCACTGTAAAAGAAATATGGTGTGACAATACCAGAATTGAACTTATCTTTTTTGTTAATCTGAAGTACATTATCCTACATTCTTGAACAAATAAAAACAGAAGAAAGGTAATTCAACAGGTATTATAACACTCATAAGGCATTACATAAAGATAGACCATTGAAAGCCTATCAATAGAAGCATGCACCTGTAGCAAAGCCATGAGATAAAACCAGCATGGCTGGGAACTAAATCCAATAGAGAGTTCCAATTTTCAAGTGTATAAGAGTAAAATTATCCTTAATCAGTAAGTAGAAGTACTTTCAGGATTAGAATTCATATCATCAATGTAAATTCAGAAGCAGCAGTAATGAACTCAAAATCTGATCCTCTTTTGTTGGTGCTAAAACAAGAAAAAAAATTGATTGATGCTAAAGATAAGAATGCGAATTGCAGGGAAACACTAAAACACTTGATAATATATTCATAACAATCAAAATAACAAAGACAGGAATGGTTATTTCAGAACAAGTAACTAACTGCCAGAAACAGTAATTCATAACCAGTTACAAGACAAGCAGAATCAAGTTCACGATTAATTATAATCATGATCTTGTAGACAAAGAGATGCTGGTACAGATTAGATCATCACGAAGAAGCGGTAAAAAGAAAAACAATTAAACGGGCGAGAAGCTTTTTCATTCACTTCTTAAGACTGCCACGGACGCCAGGTTTGGGCTTGGAAGTGTCGCCGAGACTGGCGTGGAGATCTTTGATATTTGATTCTTCGAATGGTGTCTTAGGGTGTTTGGACTCATGGTGGATCTGCATAGATTTGATGCTGGGGGCAGTGACCTTGCAGAGCGGACACTCAAACCTGGCATGCCCGCCCTTGACCTCGCCCGTCCGATCGGCCTTCCCAGCCAGCCCTCCGCCGCGATTGGTCGTCGCTGCGTCCTCCTTCGCCGCAATCTCCTTCGCCGTATGCTTCTTCGGCTTTGCCTTTCCGGTCATGGCTCCCGCTCTCCTCTCTCTGCTTCCTAACCGGCGCCTATATTAGGGTTTGATAATAATTTGGGTGATCCACGCTTTCTCGTCTTCGATTCCCCCCCCGATCGGAATATATATACATAAAGACGGGCGAACTCTATCCTACTCCCTCTTGTAAAAACGTTTTATCTTTGGATAATTTATGAAAAATAAAGTTATGCAGTTAAAAATGATACAAATGTAAAAAATAAGAGCCACAGAATTATTTTAAAAAATAGAAAGTAATCCTTTTGTTGAAACTAACATATTTAAAATTAAATAAAAATTTCTATAAAACGAGAGATGCGTTCATTTATTCACATAATTTGTCAAACATATTTCAAAAACATTCAAATGATTTTTTTCACAACACGTGCTTTGAATTAGTATCAATTGTACTACCTCCGTCCCATTTTATAATGCCTGTTTCGGTTTACGATGTTTGACTGAAATTATTTTCAAACCATTTTATTGACAAATGGTATAGAATTAAAAAATAAAAATTACATATTAAAAAACTACAGCAAAAGATTTACAAAACTAGTAGTGACAATAATATTTTATTTTATCAAATTGCTAATGAAAATAGAGAAAGAAAGTGAATGAAGTTTGACCCTGTGAATAGTAAACATGCATTATAATTTGGGACGGAGGGAGTATCATTTTATCAAAGTGTTAACACAACAAGAATTTTTTTGATACTTATTTATGCTTTTTATTATGGAGGATATACTAGTTGGATTAAATATGTAACAAAAATCATTCTTGCTTAGTTGGTGCACAACTTGACATAATGTGTGAGAGGCCAATACTTCGAATCCATATGGTGTAATATTTTTGGGCAATTTTCGCCAAAAAAAAAAACAAAATAGTTTTAACGTTTGAACCCGTCTGAATCCAAATGGTGTAATATTTTTAGGTAATACAATCTAAAAGACTAGACCAGACCAATTCGATGTCCAGTTCCCAGTCCAAACAGGTTGGGCTAGTTTTCATAACCATGAAATGAACCTCTACACAAGGAGAGGAGAATCATATAGAAAGAACTGATTCGAATCAAAAGCAATCCGGCTACTCGTTTTTTTCTTTTTGATTTAGGATGTTCGTTAAACAATATTATGATACAAAGTACTAAATTATTACCCCATTTATCTCAAATTAATCGTCTTGCTTTCTTTTTTAATTTGTTCCAAAATAATTATCATACTTAATCACCTAATAAAATAAAGAATATGCAGTCCACACCCACCATTTTCTTTCTTAAATTTTGTGAAATCAAACAAACACAATTAATTCAGAACGAAAGGAATATTCGTTTGTGCATACCAATTTTGATTTTTCATCCTTGAATGAGAACGAAATTAATGGATTGAAAATTAGACAATTATAATGTTCACTTTGAAATTATTGCAGAGTACCCTGTATATCATTATCCTTCGAACAAACAACGTTACCCCAGTGCAGCAATGGCTCCCGCCCATTGCGGAGTAAGAGGGGTCGGATGTACGAAGTCTGGCCCCGATGTTTAAAACATAGAGCGACTGCTTCCAGATGACCCATGATGAGCGGCAAAAGTTACATTGACTAGCTGCTACTTCACAATTGCAAGAAGAAGCACACTTTAAAGAACCAATTTGTTTTATACCATCGAACATGAAGTTATTTTGAATGATCCGTCATGTCCATCCATGTATCCAAAAAAGTAGTGTTGGTGTAAAGGCTTGCATAAAAAAAAAATTAATTTTATCCTCAAGTACTCCGTATACAAATATAAATTCAATTTTCGTTTACCCAAAAACAAAAAGAGTGAAAACTTAGCCAAAACTGGGAACAGATAAAAACTTTAGCTTCCCAAGAGTTAAGTAAACTGTAAAAAACTACTATGATGTTTGGAGTTTGGGCAAGAACCAAAAAGACAGCAGCTTGAACTACAAGGTCAAAAAACAGACAAGGATGAGAGCTATACTTGAGTGATCCCGGGCTTGTGGACACACTCTTCGTCTCTGCTGAGTAACCGCATCTTCCGTGAGGCATTGTAGCGGTAGATAATGCTCTGAAGGGAGTGGCGGATGGATGACGCATCATATTCCTCGAGAAACCCTAAGTCGGATTCTCTCCACTTTGTACCTGCAAAATGTCTGTATTCTTCCAACACAGATGACAAACACCAATTCTGCAACTTCCTAAGGCACCCAACCAGACAACCTGTTCGGTGCTGCAATGGACAACCGCGAGACAGGAACTTTTTAGGACCATGGGACTATAAAATGGACAGTTTTCTCTAGATAGGACCACATATGCTTCTTTTT